CGCACATACCTACGTGCACGCACGCACATACCTACGTGCACGCACGCACATACCTACGTGCACGCACGCACACGCCTGAAGCCTGGACAACCCGAAGGCGCGGTCGTGTTTTGCCTTTTTGTGGAATCAGTCGCTCTGATAAGTCTGGATGAAAGAGGAAAACGAAACCAAACAAGATTTTTGATATTTTCATTGATACCGTCAGGCTTTGTTCGCTCACGAGCAACCCCGTTCTACTTTTGAGTATTACCATCGATTTCTTTGCTGACAGCTCTCTATATATGACATACCCCTCTCAGTGTTGGCGATGACGCAAGTGCGATGAATGACAAATATAATGCCATTTTCACTTATGGTACTTGCATATTCAAAATGGAGCTCACAGAAGCATTTTAAAGAGACCTCGAGAAAAAGAAATTTGTAAGCAATATACGGCGTGGTCATGCGAAATTAACATTATATGTATGTATATATGTGTATATGTATATAACCGAAGCACTGGTAATGTCAAAAAGGCCACACCAGGTGAGATATCTCAGTCAACATTTCTCTGCAGTTATTCTGACAGGGTAACCGAGGTTTGGAGTCCCAACGAGAGTGAGTTTCGACATTATCTAGAAAATGAAGTTGAATTCAGTCGCTCTTTCGTGAAGAATTCTAATTACATGCAGCTCTGATCCGTAGTTATTTGTGGTATCTTCGATCGATAACCAGGTGAATGCCAGAGTAGACCCCAATAGAAGTGTCACGTAGCGCGCGCTTCCTTTCCTAACCTTGGCCTATGCTTAAATGGAAGCTTCCTTACACACACGCACACAATTTTACAATGCGCTACACTGCCACACCTTTCGGTAGAACAGTCGGGAGCTTATAGATTGAGTTGCGGTGGTGCCTCGGTCGGGGAGATACCTGGATAGGTAAATCCGGTGAGAAGTCGACGTATACGTTGGCGTCGAATCTCACCATCTACTGAGGAATACCACCATTTCAGGGATAAATCATTCGCGCGAGTACGAGATCAGGGCGATTCTGTCAGATTCTCTCGGAGCACCTGCCACCCCGCCGCAATGGCTCCTTCTTTGTAAATGGGTCTGATGTTATGTCGAACGTTCCATGGCGGTGAGAGGTAGTGTCACTCCGTTGTAACGTGACATATGTTTTCGGATGCTTGCTGTCAGTTGCTCCGCGTACATTTCATTTTACAGCTTTTGATCACGTTTCCTTGGAGAGGAACTGATCCTGGCTGGAAACAGGAACTTGTAGGTGGGACTTTTCATGTTCTGCAGAAAGTAAGTAGATTCTTTCCCCAACCCCTTCAGAGCGCTTGCGTATATGTCCTGGGCGGGCTTTTCCAGTGGGCCACTTCTCGCGGCTCCGCTTTGCTGCGCCCGGTCGGATCCAGCGAGGGTTTCGTCATATCGTACGCAGAGGGGGAAGTGTGGGGATTGGTGATTTCAGGAGTGTGGGTGCTCTCTATCTCTGTGAATCCATTCTATTTTTAAACGTTTACATACCAGCTTTGCCTGTGACCAGAATGTGCGCGGCCCATAGCTGCGCTTTGTGCGATCATGATTTAGGTAGCTTAGGAGGGAGGGTATGCCTGGCTCGCTTTCAAGGCAGTACGCAGTTTCCTCGACTGCGTCTTGTAGCGTTGCTTCCCTGGTGTTGTTATACCGGCGAGTGAATATTTTGAACGCC